ATATTCAACATGGAGCAGACATATTGCTAAAGTATTTGCCATTTCAATCATTCTTTTGGTGTAGAGAGACATCTTGAAGTAAAAATAGAAATATATGTACCAAAATGTTGCTGAAACAATTTCTACTCAAACTTCTTTTGGCTTGAGACCAAATATGCAAAGTTCCTGCTGGAAAGAGGAATTCCTCTATTAGCACGGGAACAAGGCGAATCAAACTATATGTTAAACTTCACTAGTATCTGAGATAGGGAGACCTACCTCCAGAAAACTGCAGAGGCTCAACAGTCACAGCTGACTACAACTGATACTGAGATAGGCTTTAGCTCAGAAGACAATCTTTTTTGTTATGCACTTTTCAGGATGGAAACAGATATTGGTAGGAAAACGGGGGAAAAGACAGTGATAACACTCACTGGTTTGGTTTGCCTCAAGAGGAACATGACTACCTCTGCTGCTTTTCTTCTGCATATGGAAATGTGAGCTTCGTAGTCAAGAGAGAAGGCAGAACAGATATAATTAACTTTTCACTTCTTTAGGAGTGTGAGAAAGCAAATAAAAAAAATTCTTGTGCATCCACTGCTGAATGGCCACCCTACCAGGTCAATGGGTGGAGGCAGAGCACCCCACACCCTGTTTAAAAAACTGCCCTATGCTCAACATCATCTCAGCCTAAGGACCACAGGCCTCATCAGAACTGCTGAAGTTGTTTGAGAACTGCTTGGGACAACTGCAATCCAGGCCCAAACTCTGAAGGCCAATTCTAAACCACTTACGGTTTAAATCACTTCTGCTTAGGACCAGAGGCAATGGACACAGATTGGATGCTGGGAAATTGCAGGTATCCATTAGATACCTGGAGAAATTGCTTATTTCAACTGCTTCTGGAACAGATTGCTTAGAAAGGCATTGGTATCTCCAAGTTTGAATGTGTTTGAAACTTGACTGGAGACATCTCAGAACAACCTGCTCTAATTAGACTTGCTTTGAGCAGTAAGTAAGTTGGATCTCTAGAGGTCCCTTCCAATCTAAATTATCCTTTGATTCTATGAAAAGTTGAAAAATAACTGTAAGATCTGGACCATCCTGGAGTTAAAAAGTACAGGGAAGTTTGACTGGAAGTCATACAGAAAGCAGGATTACCAGAATTTTCCTGCAAAGAAGAGTGAAGAAGCTTGACTACAACTAGCACGGAGGGGAGGCATTCCCTGTTTCTGACTGTAGTCACATTGGTCTTGTAGCTGTTGGCAAGTCATACAACATCACCTGAGAGCTGAACCCTTACTGCTTCATTTCCATCAGCTGGAGCTAGTCTATCTGTCCTGTTGAAAATCAAATTTTAAAGGTCTCTTTTATAAGAACGGATATGTTCATGAGCTTGTCAAAGCATCACGGATAACAACTCAGAAGACTGAAATCTGAAGATTAAAAGAGAATTTTTGGCATAAAAATTTCCTGGTGAACCAGACAGAATAAAAATTTGTTCTGGAGGATAGTAGCTATTTTTCTAAAATATTTTTCTACAATTTGGAGGGTGGTAGATAGAATTTATCTGCTAATCAGATAAAGATTCAAATCTACTGAAATTTTTATCTGATTACTTTTAGGTTTGTTTGTTTCCCACTGGGCCATGTGTGGCTTGGAGACTGTCCAAATTCTTTCCTTAAAAGCTTTTCTAGGCTATTGGCTCAGGATATGGGCAAGAGAGTGAAGATCTTTCAGAACATATTCTTTTCTGATTCTTTCTAACACACTGTGCGCTCCCCAATTCATAATAGGGTAGAGGCCAAGGGATAGATATCTGAGATGTATCACAGTATCACAGATGACCGCAGAAGATGCCATTTCCTTATATTAAAACCTATTATTTGAAAACTCTGTAACTGAAAAGACACCGAGCTTCTGTTACAGTCTCAGAGTTTTAAAGAGGAGTCATAAAATGTCAGAATGTCCAGAGCTATAGACACATGTAAAAGGAAATGATTAATGTTTTGACATTATCAACATGCTGATACTATCCTAGTAATGCAATGCCATAAGTGGAATATACTAGTTTAGCAGAATTTCAGTAGGTTTATTTACAGAAAAAAAAAAAAAAAGAATATTATGAATTTATAGGTCATTTCAAAGCAAGAATATTTAAAAAAATTTATTACAAAAATGTCCTTATCGAAATACCCAAAATACTGGGAGATAACAAATTCCAATATCAGGCTGGCTACTTTAAGTTAGAACAGCAAACTGGGGTAGGAAGGTCTGTCCCTATTATGCCACTGATTTCCTTAGTGAGCTATGGCAACCTACAAAACCTGTCCCTGCTTTTATTCCCCATCTCCAGAACATTTTATGCACAAATACGTGGCCAGGGAATTTAGGTCATACAAAGGGAGTCATTTAGCCCTCTAGCTATCTAAATATCTATTCTTAATATATTTGGACAGATTCAGAAGATATGCTGCTTTACCTTTCTCAGATGGTAAAAATAGAAGTAGCTAGGTATTAATTTGATGCACTGGGTGTTAGCCTGGCATACGACTTCAGGCATATCAGCAAATACATATTGTTGGAGCAGCAACTAAGTTGAGCAATGTTCAGCTTAACGTTACCTTTTCTGTTTAGTAATGATGTGAAGAATAGTTCTACAGTGTTTTTCTTTACTGGTTCTAGTAATTAAGTGAAACATTGTGTGGTAGGTACTGAAGTATGCAGAAATTAGGACACAACTGCCAATCTGAGCTAATTATTTTTCTTACAGTTGTATTTATCTAATTTGTGCTGATGGGTTGGGGTCTGTATATTATGGTTATTCTGTGACTAAATAACATTGGGACGACGCAGAGGCTGGGGGCAATGCTAGACCCTTCTACCCAACAGTCAGAAGCAAATTAAATTCACCACAGGTCAAACTATTACCTGGTTTTAAATAACGTCTGGAGAATCTTCTACTGCAAGTTGCACCTATGCTGAGGCATTTCTTTTGGCACATCTACCTGAACTGAGCTTAAATCCTAACCTGCCTTTCATCCAGATGGGTGACTCAGCTCAGCGGTTTTGTTAAAGGAAATCCAGTGCCTTTCTGACACACAGACACACGCTCTCTTGGTGTTCAGCTACATGATCCTTTTGTCTGAAAAGAAGAGCCCAAGTATATTTCAGAAAGATCAGATTTTTCATTTGGCTTATGGAACACTTATAAACTAGGACTCCTAACTGTGATTCCCAAACACAAAACAAAGTCAAAGGTTACAGCATATGTTTTTGTTTCAGCTTCTCCAAATTACTTGCAAATGTATTCAAACACAATATGAGGAGATACTTTATTTTATTGCAAATAACAGACTACAGGGTGCTGCAAAAAAGGCTGAGGTACCTCAAGCATAAACATGGAAAGAATACATTGGTTTAGAAACCCATAAATCCTTATTTGAATCTGCCAACCTGAAAGCCAAGTAAAGCCCGAAAAAACTATTTTTCCTAAATGCTATGTCTGATTAAGCCATACTATTAAATGACAGCTGAACTTTAACATTAATATGATATTATTTAAATAACTGCATGATTTTTTTTACACTAAAATGATGAATGATTTTTGGACAGCTCAATTGACATAAAGCAAGAAACCCCTTTAATGAGATTTGACAAAATGGAGACATATGCAGAATATTCGTTACAGCTCATGTCGCAGAGCCCTTCCTGGGGAGACTTGGGTTTGGTTGTGTCTTTTCTTTCGTTCATTTTTTTTATAGTTTATTTTGATTGTCTACAGGCACTGAACCATCCCTTTCAATTGCCACTTCCTTTCTCCATGGATTTTGAATTTAGCTTGTGTCATTTACATATTACTCTTAATCAGAGAATTTTATATGTTACAGTTAGGAGTTGGAATTGTAAGAAATCTGTGGAATGAAGGCATGAGGTTCAGTCATTTTAACCTTTGTCAACTGGGTATACAAGGAACTAACAAGGATATTTTTCTGAGGAGACTTATGAAGAGATAAAGCTTGCACTAAAGAACAACTTACTAAATTCTGGTGTTGATATTTTCCAAGCCAAGTGACAAATCAACAACTCTGCTAGAACTTTCCCTTCTTTTTTTTTTTTTTTTTAAATAAGAAAATTGCATTAAGCAAATATGCAACACACAAGCCCATGGCAAGGGTAATTTCGTACTGAGCACTTCAGAGGATGCTCTAAAGTCCTTTAAAACTGTGTTTTCATAGCACCCAGCACCACCTACTAGACGGATGCTTTTCTTCTTCAGGAAGCTGAATATATACAGAAATATGGACATCACAGAGAAGCTCAGGTGCTGTTTCACTGGGTAAAACCCACATATCCAGAGATGCCACTAATTCAAAAAATCTGTCTGGGAGGGTACTGATGTAAATTTAAGGTGGCTACTAACCACTGGATAACTCCCTCCCTGCAGTCCCACATAGATTTTCAGAATGCTGCAAAATTTTCCTTTCTGTATCACCTCAGTTTGATCCCAGGGACAATTTTCATACCATTGAAAGCATGGAAGAAACATGCTAAACCCACAAGGTCTGACAGTGTGTCTGCCCCATCTCTTCAGACAGAATTGATCATCTTCACCTTTCCTCTGTGTGTAAATTTACGCTGCCCCAAAACAACATTTACAAACTTTCTCACGTAAACTCTTAACAGGTAAAAAACCTTGAAAACACCAAAATTACTCAAGAATAAGGAACACAGGAAATCATCATCAAAAAGCTTAATTTTAGAACACACATACAAAAACCTCACACATACAAAGAAACAAAGATGAGAAATGATTGAGCAAGGGGTAATCCCTCAGGCCTTCTATCTAACCATGCCTGCTTCACTATCGGCATTCATTCAAAGACATTCTACATAGCAGCCTGCGTAGAAGAAGTCAGGTACGTCAGCAAAATGCTGAGGTTGAATTAAGAATAAAAATAAAGGCACGGAGGGAGAGTGAAAAAAAAGAAAGAGCAGAAGTGTCCCTACCTTGGCCTTACCTTCGCAACATTCCTGTCAAAATCCTGGAACTCTTCCCCAGGTTCGCATCTGTTTCTCTAAGCTGGGGAGAAAACAGTCCCATTAAAGGCAAAAGGCACAGGTACTCCATTCTGTACAAAGCACAGATATTTCTACTGTCATTTGAGTCAATCAACTTCAGTTTTAGCCCACAACAAACTTGCGTAAGAAAGCCACCAAAGCTCTGGAATTTAAAAATGTTTTGTCTGGTTTTCACTTACTTGAAGATGAAATCCATGGCAGATAAGACACTGAGGCAACAAAGATGAACCAGGATAAAGAGCAAAAGCTTTACAAATAAAGGGTTGCAGGTAGAAGCTATATAAATTGGTATCCATAACTCCCATTGATGTGTGTATGTGTATTGGTTATGTATATTAGTGAGGGCATCAAGGGATGAAGAGACAGCCATGAGCTCTGTTGTTGATGCTTTATGAAAAGAAGCACAGACATATCTTTCTTCCACTGTTTTTCAAAGACAGTAGTTTAAAGAAAAAGCAAAAATACAAACCAGTGTCCTTTTACCAATTCTATGGGAACGATATATGCCTATACTGTCCCTGAAATACAAAACTTGTACTGACCTTACAGCAGCCACCACTGGGATAGATGCCCAAATACTTTGTGAACAGTATATAGCATGTACATGAGGCACAGCTGTATACTATATATTTTTGCATGTAATGATCACTCACTCACTGAAAATAGCCTTTTTGTAGTTTATTAGGACACAGGAACGCTACATTTACAGCTAAATTTAATTAGCTGACTTGTTCTACAGCTCTCAAAAATCTTGCAAAATAGGTAAAAGCACAACTGAATGTAAAACGAAGTTGGGGAGATGAAAAGTTATGAAGCAAATTAACTTTATATTAAAAAAGAACAATTACTGCTATTCATCTTTAAAAGGGATTAAAAAGTCCCCTCTATTTTTGCGTTTATTAGTGTCCCACAAAGGGATGTCTGGAAATGAAGAAGGGTATAGGAAGAAGAGAGTTACTCTCCCATTGCCTCTTTTGCTACCAGTAGCTAGAGGAGAGACATCTTTTTACTTTTTAGAGGTCTTGGAACATCAAAATCTACTCTGAATGATAATGTAATGATTGTCAGTTATAAAAAGCAGGGACCACTGTTTCTAATGTGCCTGGAAACACAGCTGTGTGTACATACATAAAAACATTCTTCCCCTTATGAAAGCTGAATATTTACCTCTTCATTCTCAAATCAGATTGAAAGGATTACCTGACTTCTTACTAAAGAAACTTTGTGGTAGAAGACAAAATGCATCCTGTGTTATAAATCCATCAAAACAGTAACACTGCCAAGAAAAGTGGCAGTCTTCCAATAACAAATCACCTTCACCATAACAAACCACTATTATATCTTGAATACACGCACAGCAGCAACTTTAAAACCAGGTTCTATTCTGGAGCCCAATACTGTAAATATTTGCTACCAGATTTAATGTTTATTACTGAAATCAGTAGTCGCAATCAATGACACATAAGCTTTTTGCATAAATTTCCTCCTTGTTCTTGTAAGAGCTATTAAGGAAATGCCAAGTAGAAGCTTGGATTGGATACCACCATCCAAGACTTGCTCTTAGCAATATCCTATTCAGAGGGAAGGCTTGCAGTGACTGTCAGATCTCTGTAATTATGTGCCATGATGGAACAAAGATGAGCACTATATTCCACGGAGGCCATTCCCTCATTTTTTCCTGATTCATCTAGATAATTCAAGCTCCAGAAAAGCAGTTTAGCCCAGTTTGACACAAGTAACAGAAGAAAAAACGTCACAATAATTTTTAAAAGGCTCATTAAAAAGCCAAGTACTTATCTATGCTAGAAGGGAATCTGAAGTACAAATGTATGCTTTACATTGGTCTTTTATTATTCATAAAGATGCATTTAACACTTGGGGCTTCTCCTCCCTTTTCACAGAAAAGTAGCTCTCTCCTTTTTACCATTATATGTTTGATCCTAACTTTCCTCTCTTGCTGCAGGATTCTACCTGACAGCTAGAATCAGTACTGATAATTAGGAAGGGGAAGCTGAATCTTAGAGGTTTGACAAACTCCTCTAAGCAAGACAACCTCATATTTTTATGGTAATAAAAAAACCCACAAAATAAGCGAAAAAATGCTAAAAAAGAAACAAACACGTACACACATAGTTGGAAGATCTCTAGCTACCTCCCAAGAGAACACTAAAAAAACACCTTTTCTTCCTGCATGGGCAGAAAAAACAACATAAAGAGTTCCAAACTGAGAGTTTTTTTATTTATAGCTGAAATATCTGATGATAGTTCTTCCATCATTTCTTTACCAATACCAGTGCACTGCAGAAGCCAAAGAACTGGTGGCATGCAAACCCATTAAATGGCACGTGATGGCACTTCCATGTTTCACAGAATTGCTGTCGTGAAAACATAGAATCATAGAATCGTTTAGGTTGGAAAAAACCTTTAAGATCATCAAGTCCAACCGCTAACCAAACACTGCCATCCCACCACTAAGCCATGTCCCTAAGCACCTCATCTACCCACCTTTTAAATACCTCCAGAGATGGGGACTCGACCACTTTCCAAACATTTTGAAAGATGCTTTGATATTAGCAATGGCAAATCTACATGGTGTTTAAGAAAGCTTTTTAAAAATATATTAAAAAAATAATAATGAGAAAGGAAGGAAGATGAACAAGATGCTGTTGTTGATATTTTGTCTGCCTTAGGCATTTTAATTCAAGGTTTTCCTAAAAAATGTTGCATCTTTTTGTGTCCTTTATACTCCAGTTAACCTATCCGACTCTTATAGCAGAGCTTTTATCCCTTCTCTTTGGCTTAAAAAAAAAGTAGTTTAGAGAATTCCTCTTCACAACTTTTATTACACATGTATTCTGCACTGCACATGATCTTCGTTTATGCAAAATGATAGTAGCTATGTCCGGCATTTTTCTTCATTCAATTGTTTTACTCTACAGACAGAAAAACTCTTATATGTAAATTTAACCAAACTATAGAGACACTAACTCATTTAAATTTTGCTCATAAGCAAATCTTCCTAATTTTCACAACATTGAACTGCTAAGAACTGACCATCATACTCAAGCTGACATTTGACTTTCAGAAGACAGGTTTGGCCCCTGGCTGATTGGATAATATCTCTCTGTATTCAATGTAAAGCTATTATGCGTTAACAGAGCACCCTCTGTCCTGGTCTTCTTTAAAAAATCTCCACAAAATGGAAAACTTGCCAAGTTATCCAAGATCATCCCTGACTGTACACCTGAGCATACAGACACCTGGGACAGATGCACTCGTGTGGCTCCACTAGAAAACCTTTCTGTATTCCCTAAACAAAATATTTTAAGGGGCATATGACAAAAACTTGGAATTTGAAATCTTCCATTTATGACAAGAGGTCTTTTGCTGAACTGTAATGGAGACACTTTCCTAGAATACCCTTATTTCTAATCTTGCTCCTTGCACCTTATAGGATTTGCCATCAAAGAAATTTGCTCTTCGGGTGGAAAGCAAAGAAAAAGGAAAGTTACGCTATGAACCACACGTAGAGTCATCAGAACTACACTTGTCTTTCCCAAAGATTTTTAGGATCAGCAGAAAGGGATACACATTATTCATCTCCATCGCCTAGGTTTTACTTGGCCAGCTAGAAACAGAAAATCGTCTCAGATTCAGCAGTCACTAGGGATGTGAGGTGTGGAGGTGAAATAAGACACAGAGTTGCCTGAATGACACTTGGTAAATGCTCACAAACCTTAGTTACATTTAATGATTTAGTTATACTTAATGTTTTAAAGTAGCTAATGCCCAGGACTTCAGAAAGCAACTGGTACAGCTGACAGAAAATGCCTCATTAAAGCTGTCACATAAGGCTTTACCAGCCAAAGCTATCCAGGTAAAGAAACTCCCTGGGACAGATAAAGGAGTTTTCTGAAGTGGCGTTGGTCAGCTGGAGGCCTGTAGGAGGACTTTGCTTCGGCAAAATTGGACGTTCAGGAAACTATCTGATCAACACATCATGGACAGAGTCACAGGTGCAGTCACCCCTGGTTCTGTGAGCAGAAATCAAAACCAGGGAGGCAAATTTCTTAGACTGAAGTTCAGAGAAGTTGTATGCATTGGATGGGATGGGCTTCTGGGCATCTTCATTAATGTTGCAGAGTAAAGAGGATCCCTATGAGGGCAACATAAGCCAAAAATGACACAGATATGTTACCTTGACTGCAGTGACAGAGCAGCAGTGTAAGAAACCACTATCTGTTCCTTCACACAGAATTGCCTAAGGATTTGCTAAAGAATTGCCTATTAGCATTTGCAGCCAGAAGGTTGGTCAATTATTAGAAGCGAAACCATGATACTGAACTTTGTTTCATAGGAAGTCCAGGAAGTCATTGCAATGGACACTACAACATATCCTTCCAAGGACAGAAAACTGACTTAGCGGTGATGTGAGAGAAACCTTGCTTCCAACAGCGGTTTGGTGACTTCAGTGTGACTGCCTGTAGGGGAGGCTTTGCAGGATTGGGCCTGTATAAGACACTTTCTAAGTACTTTCCTGCAGATAGTGATTACATCTCACAATAGGAGCGGATTTATATGAAACTAATCAATATGCTGGTTTATTTTTGCATGCAGAGAGAACTTGCCCAGGCCAAATAAAACCCAAGACCAGCAATTACTTATTATCAAACTTACCCTTTCCCGAGCACGCTGGATCTTCTCTCTGTCATGGCTGAGGTTTTCCAGCATCTCCTGTCCAATCTGCTCTGCATTAAAAAATCAAAATGTAAATAATGAAAAATATAGCTTGTGACTGTAAGGCCTCAAAATGCCAGCTTAGATTGTAACAACGGCATTTAATACATGTGGTAGCCTAATCACTCCTCCTAACTGCAAAGCAGAAGACATCATTATACTAAATTTTAAGTTTTTCAAGCAACATAAAACTGAAGAAGTAACAACCAAACCAGAAGCTGTTCCCCTGCAATCTCTTGAGGTTGTCTAGGCCCTGGGAATTGATGCTGATCTTTGGTCTGTGAAACAAAAGCAAGAAGACTTTCAGACTTGCTCTAAGTGCTGGGTGTTCATCCTTCCCACATGCTCCTTAAACCCACTCCTTCTCTTAGGTCAGGAAGCCTTTGCTAAAACACCAGCCCTCCTTATACCTCTAAAACCATGGAGAAGTCATATTAGAAAAAAACCACTGTCTGTGCCTCTCAGCACTTACCATTGATGCTTAAATAAAAGCTATTCCAGGATAAGCCCAGTTACTGGTGTCTATTTACTCCATCATCACAGAATCGCAGAATCACAGAATGGCTGGGGAGAGCAGGTTGCACAGGACATCGTCCAGGCGGGCTTTGAATATCTCCAGAGAAGGAGACTCCACAGCCCCCCTGGGCAGCCTGTGCCAGTGCTCCATCACCCTCAAAGTAAAGAAGTTCTTCCTCATCTTCAACTGAAACATCCTATGCTTCATGGACTATTTCTGGCAAGCTTACAGATACGCTGTAATGGATCTCCTGATGTTTTTAATAGCAGACATATACATTCATCTATTGTCATTACCCTTTGTTTACACACAGGAGTTGTTTGCTTCCGCAGCTTCCGCTGAACGAAAGGTTGCGGAATTACAGTGGAGAGGCCTCAAGATGAGGTACAAAGATGCCAAAACTTTACTCTTCAAACAGCGTCAGTCAAATGCTCCTCTAACACTGAAATATTAGCAGCAAGTATAGAGAAGAGATTTTAATCTTCAAAGCTCTATAGAAACATTAAGAAACCCTCCCTGTATTTCCCCGAAGGAGAAAAAATAAGTGAAATCATTCCCATTTTACAGATGGGGAAACAGAATGAGCTGAAGCAGCTGTAGCTTGCCTCAGGACACACAGCACGTGTGAGACAACCAGCATTTCTGTGCACATTCATGTGGGCTACTCAGCTGGCTTGCCAGAGATATGCACCAAAACTGAGCGCAACTACAAATACATGAATTTTCTTTTTTTCATAAACAACAAAAACCACGCCTTGCTTTTGTTCTGGTGAATGAGTGGGATCTTAAAATGTCATTATTTGAGGAGCCTCAAGAAAAGTAATCATTAAAAATTCACCAATATGTTAGTAGAGCAAACACGACTCTTCTTATTTTCATTAATAGATACAGCCTATTTTCAGGAAACAATCCAAAGTAGAATCATCTCAAACTTTAAAAATTTGAGACGAGCAATTTTTTTTCCTAAATCCATTTAACAGAAAGTACACACTCTGCCAGACAAAGTCTAAGGAAATTCATTACATATATATTTCTCTATCTGTTGCCAAGTACAGTACAAGTAAGATAAATATTTCCTCAGATATCTGACCACAAATTGACATCCTCATTATGCTATCTTGTCCCTCTTGGCTTGCTGCTTTTTACTTTTAGCTGTATATACAATGCCTCCCAAAGGTGAAATGTGGTAAGATATGTGGTTATTGAGTTAAAAAAGCTGTAAGGTGCAGTACAGCTATACAAATGGTAGCCTAAGAAAGCGGTTCAAGACCAAGCTTTGCCGATGTTTACATGCCAAAGGACTGAGTGCGTGAAACTATACTGAGCTTATTCCTCATCAAAGCACTCAAAATACTATAATGCACAAACAGATACATGCATCCAGTGTAATCTGGAGGAGAAAAAAACGAAGCAAAATCCCTTAAAAACAGCGAGGAAAAAATCAACAAATTACTAACCGAGTAGCATGAGGTGGAATGATAACAAATATTTGTTGCTAAAAATTATACATATGTTTGCACAGACATAAAGGAGTGTGAGGAGCAGATTTTCCTTCAAAGGAATAGCTATAAAGTAAATGGCTAAAATGGCTTGGTATTTCACAAACAAAGCTCAAAAATATCTTTATAGGTAACAGCTCTATTTTTATTACACCAATTTTAAGCAAGTTACTGTGGGGTTTTTTTTCATCTTCTTCCTGTCACTGGCAAGTTCACACTCTTAGCTTTTTATAATGATTGAGTTTATTTTCCAACCATCAATGTGACAGCAGCATCAACTGTAAGTGAGGGTAAAACACCGTCACTTTGACGAATAGTGTATTTTCCTCTCATTGTCGATGACTGAAGACATCAATAAATAAGGAAGGAGAGCATGTCAGCCAGAATATCACAGAATGAATTGTTGATATGACACTTAGGGATTAAACCTTCAGCCATGAAGTTCAACCTAGCAGAGGGGTCTGAGAACTGAGATAGTTGCGTTTCTTCCCAGCAGCCTCTATAGATAAATAATTGGACGGATCATCAATTTTACAGGAGCAGCTTTACTCTACATGCACTTTAGTTGATGATCTTTGGCCTTTTTTGGGCTAAAATAACAACATAAGTTGAACAAAGAGACATAACGGAGGTAACATAATCTCACAATAAGTTTGCAAACATAAATTGACACCTTTATCCACACATCCTCTTCATATCCTTCTTCTACTCAGAAAATTCACTGATGACAGTGAAACTTGATTTTTAGTTGGAAGGTCAAGACAGTCAAACAAAAATATTAATAAATAAAGAAAATACAGACTTATAAATTACACGAAGACATGTCTCCTCACTTGGTTTGCAACTGAAGGTGCCTGGGACTGGAAAAAAGGTAACGTTAGCCCACGATACAGCTAATTACAGGCCTGATAGCATTCCTGTCTGCTTGCTATAATTGTTCAAGTTTCCCCATGACTCTGATGTTTTCCTGCCAGCTAAAACCTTCATCTATGTGGCAGATTCATGCTTTTAGTGCAACGGTGCTGTATAGATCTTTCCAGACTACTTATAATGCAAATCATTGACGATGCTACTACAGTTATGTGAAAAGGTCAGGTTTCTAAGATATACTGTAGTGCAGATGCATGAATTAAGACCAATATACAAACTGAAGGGTGTTGCATGTTGCCAGTAATGGTGTTATTTCCATAAAATCTTAACAACCTCAATTATTTGAGATTATCCCATCCTTTTAGACAGTATGTACAGACAATATTTAGTACAGTGCAGTCCCAAGCCCTACAAAAGACTGCGTGATGCAGTGCCTCTTCTAACTGAAATTCCCAAAGAGATGCATAAAATTATGTTCTGAAATTACAGCTAAACTATGAGAAGCAGAAGGGTGAATGCATTTACATCATTATTATCTATGTACTGACAGAGGGCAGGAATATTCGATACAGCAATTATCTCAGTCTTAAACAATGCTGTGATGAGCAGAAAAAAAAAATTCTGAAGAAGTACATAACTTAATATTAACAAGTATCAGCCTTAAAGGGTGAATGCTAAAATTCGTATCTCTAAATGTATTCTGCTTTAAAGGTGTTTGAACAAGGTAAGGGAAAACAGCCTTTTCAGTGCTGAACACTTTGAAAATGCTATGTTGTGGGTCCAACAGAAATGGTGCCTGGTTCTATGAGACTGTATTATGCAAACACCACCACCACCCCCCCATTTCTTATCCTAAACCACTGAACATAATTAGAAGAATGAAGACGCTTTCCCCAACTGGAGAAAAAACAACCCCCCCCAAAAACAATTAATACAAACCCGACTTCTCCCATCATGTGTGCAAAAATTGGCACGTGGTTTTCAACTTTTACACTGAGATAAAATCAAAAGACGATGATCACATGAAGTGATCCTTTACACTCCTGAATATGCCCTAATTTGGAATTTGCCTGTAACCTATATGCAGTATTTATTTATATGTACAGATCATAATTATTTAATACATGTTCCACAAAGCTTGATTTCTAATACCTACACACATATCAAGGACACAAAATAAGTTGCGCTTGACTGGTTTTTCTTTTCCTTTTTTTTGCCTCCAGCCATTTAAGCATTTATTTACTTTACCAGCTAAACTGATTTTGAAAGAGCTTTTTCTAATCACTCAAGTCAATAATACTTTTTTCCTTAAGAATGACTAATATATTTACTCAAGAGACAGGAATGATATAGAATGAGCCTCTCCAGGCTTCTGGATAAATAAACATGCATTTTTATGAATTTTGAAGACAGAGTCCTACTTTTTCTTTTCATATGAAAACCAAAATAATCCAACATGGTTTATACAGCACTTTTCCTCTCCAAGTGTACCCTGTGTGTGTGTGTGTGTATAAATACATTTCTGATCGGCAGCGGATATTCTGATATAGTTTAAAATGTGAAAAAAGCTTAAAAACAACCAAATCACGGAGAGGATGCCTGGAAGCATGATTTGCCCAATCCCATCATATGTACAATGCATGCATCTGAGATACGTAATTAGAGGTGGGAAAAGACAAACTAATTTACTCTGGGCAAAGCAGAAGATTGTGTTAAAAATCAAGATGGCTGATCTACAGAATCATAAAATTCCAAAACCCACTGTGTTTTGTGAGAGAAGGAGTCCAAGTAGATATGGAGAACACTTCCACCCTGAGACCCTCAGCCTTGCCTAGTGACTAATGCCATTTGGGGAGTGGAACCGTGTTGACTGCACAGAGATGTCTCATGCTCTGAAGATGTAGCAAAAGCTTATGGAAGATTTTTGGAGAAGAACCATGCTGACACAGGCAGAAACTCAACAAATGGACACTTTTTTTCCAAAAGCCACTCTGTTTTGGACAGGTTAAAAGTTTAGGTTTTAGGAGACTAAAAGAGATAAATCATCAACAGCAGTTTCTGGGAAAAAATGCTAGAAAGCATTAAATGCTAGTTGTTCAGAGGTGACAGCAAGTAGATTTACAAA